AGCAGGAGCCGGCAGGTCTCAGGGGCAGCATTCGGGACCCGAGCCCTCTGTGACAGCTCTCGGTTCCTGGGCCACTCCCAGGCCCTCCATTTATAGCAATGCCTCACCTGTCTTCCAAGCTAACCGGGAGCCCTCTGCCCACACCCAGAGGCAAGTGTCCCTCCCCTCTGTCCACAGGTCTTCGGGCACTGACAGCTGCTCACCTTGAGTCGTGTGAGCCTGCACACAGCCATGACTCCCTCCAAAAGTGACAGGAGGTAAACACCTAGGTGTCTGTCCAGACAGCAAGACCAGGTACAAGGCCCAGCTGCCAACTATGCCAAACATTCCAAAGACACAGGCACAAAACCGGCTCATCCCCAGGACTCCGAGCCTGAGAGAATTCAGTCAGGAACACTTGGGCCCAGCCCCACTGGGGATGGGAACACTGCCTGACCCCAGCCGAGAGGTAACTCGACACACCGCCAGATTCCCAAAGGTCTGAGGGCATGGTGGCTGGCTGGGGGTCTGACCATGCCCCTCCAAGGGAGATTGACAGGGTAAGAGAGAGGGGGCCATCTCCACACGGGGTACAGAAGGGCCTGCAATCCCATGGGGCCACTGAACCAGAGGGGCTGTGAAGGGAGCTGCCCGTGGCCACACAGAGCAGAAGCACCAGCTCCAAGTCACTCTGGAGAGGTCAGGAAGGAAACTGTGGACGGCCATCAAAGCCCCAGCAAGAGCACGGCCCTTACAGGAGCACCCGTCCAAGGAGGACCCATCTTTCCAGCCACGTTCTCTCTCCAGCCTTCTGGGAAGTCCAAAACATAGAGTCATCTTTACCTAGATTCCCACTGCCAATTTCCACCCTGAAATTGGATGGGTCATTCTTGTGGCTGAGGGCAATCAAGGACGGTTTATAACCCGAGGATGCAGATGGGCTGAGGGACTGGCCAGGTCTTCATCCCAGCAGGGAAGTCACTTCCCCTCCCGAAGAACACATCAGTGGGCAGTGGAGAAAAGGTAAAATGTTTTTATTACAATGTGTCTGACATACAAATTACATTTAATTCAGGCTCAGCCACCAGGACAATATTTTTGCTCATAACAAAACTTTAGTAATATTTATTGAGGAGCACATTTATTCTCATGAAAGCCAAGCATCTAGGTGAGGTTTTGTGCAAAATACCACCTCCAGGTGCATGTTTCTGGGGGTGCAGTACTGCAATTGCTGTTCTTCTTGGTCCCCTCTCCCAGGGCAAAATCCGCTGCTGTCAGATTCAGGCTCAGCTGTGAAGGCCTGGATAAGGAAGTTCAGGCTCCCCTTCCCTCCCAGGCAGGATGACACCATTCACGAGTCGTTTGTGCATGGCTCTGGGTTGAGCCTCGGCTTGTGGTATGAGTTACAGCCCGGGCATATTTTAAGTGTGTGTGGTTGATGCTCAGATGAGGTCTGAGAGGGGGAGCACCATCCGAAGCAATGTGGGAGCTCAAGCCTGGGAGGGAGACACAGTTCCCAGCCCATCTCACGGGTGAAGACAGAGCATTCCCAACTCTGTTCTCCATGACGAAAATGTCAGGTGTGGGGACGGAAGGTGGCCCAGTCACACAATGGGATGCTCTGAGAGGGTCCCACGCGGGATGGTGTGGATTCAAGTCTGGAGGCCTCCCCGAGGGTCAGGCATGCACTTGGCTGTATTCCAGGGCTGGCGGAGGCTGAGGTGGATCTCGGTGTCGAGGCTCTGAGGGTGTGCTGTCTCTGTCTTTCCCTCATGGAATAAATAAATATAAATCAATAACAGGTTGGTTCAGAATGTCAGAAGTCATTGTGAGGTGAAACTGGGCACCTCTTGCGTGAACTAGAACTCGCACTTACCACACAAACACATCTCACCGGCAGGTGTGTCACTCCAAGTGCACGGAGCAGGACAGAAACGCGCTCAGTTCCAGCTCTTTGTTTTATAACCAGGTTGTTATCACTGTTTGTTTCTAAACGACTGTTTAAACATAGGGACCTCTGCGGCCGCAGGAGGTCATGCCGCAAACCCGGTCTGAACTGAGAGGACCCTGAACTGCTGTGACCTTTCTCTGGAAACGAACTCTCGGGGCCAGTCAACGGTATACCTGGGCGTTTTCCCAATGAACCTCCACGCACAATGTGCTATTTACTAAAGCAGGAGCAGTACACGGTGTGAGTCTGAAGCTCACATACATACATATTATTAAAATTCAACCGTAACCATTGGCATTGTTAGGAACACAAATGTTTTTCCAAGGAGAAATACTTCGTCATCAGCCATCTGCATTGTGAGTGCATGTGACAATTCACGAGCGAATTGTCCTCAGCTTTGTTTAGGATTCTCCAAAGATAACGACTCCTCCATACCTGTGGGACGCCCTTACCCAAGGTCACCCAGCACAGGACACAGAGGCAGGCTGGGGCTCAGCAGTGGAGGGGGGCTGGGGTCCCCCAGAGGTATTTGGCTCTCCCCAGGGGACCTTACTTCTCCCCCTTCTGTGTTTTCTGGAGATAATAACACCCTTGCACCTGAGTCACTGCCCCAGGCTTGCTTCTGGGGGAACCCAAGGTGGACAAGTGGTTTTCCTCCTGTTGACGTCCATGGGTCCTTTGACCTGCAGGATGTTGAGGAAATAACCAACTTTGCAGACATAATCATTCATGTGGCTTCTTTCTAAGCCTGAATGTGTGTGACCCAGGCGCAGAGATGAGGTAAGCATGCCCTTTCTCGGGGTGGTCAGGTACAGGGGTCTCTTTTATTTGATTTTGAGAGGGACAGACAAGGTTTGGCATTTAGTGAAAAGAGTTTTCCCATTGGTCTGGCTCAAAAAGGTGGGACACCTGGAAGGGGGTGGGGAGGGGAGGGGGCGCAGGCTTGAGGCTTACAGGTGGGTCTTACAAGCTTTCGGTGAGTGACTGGAAAGGAAGGTCCGTGTTTCGGGAAGCACCAGCAGAGCGTGCTGTGAAGGCGATAAGGGGCTTGCGTGCATCAGGAGGTACTGTCCAAGGACAGGAAGCAGGAAGGGTCCTGTTATCACTGTGTCTGACGATCTGTTAAGGATTGTGGGCGTGACTCAGCCAGCACAGTGGAGGCCATGGAGGATGTAGGAACAGTCCTGTTATCAAATGGGCTGAAATGACCTGTTAATGTTTGTGGGCGTGACTCACCCCAAGCCCTATGGAAGGGATTTTGGAAATAGGAAAAAGCAGTCAGACTTCTGTCCTCAGGAGCTAGTCACAAGACCGACAGGTACTTAATAACGTCTTGTTTGTTTCCCTGTGACAATCTTTTAAAAATGATTGAAAGCCCATTCTGATTCCCCGTGATCCTCTGATTCCACTTCGGCAACCATGCTAACAGAATGAAAAGGAGCTACTGGCACAGACACTTGCACACCTATGAGCCACTGGGGTGCTCACACGAGCAAGACAGGGAGGCCACCCAGGTGTCCACCGATGAACGACTGGGTAAGGAATGCACCGTCTGCCCATGAGATGGGATAGTGCTCAGCCTTAAAAGGGAAGGGACTCTAGTCTTTTTGAGAGGTTTTTGCTATAGGGTGCGTGCACTCGCCAGAAAGACAGAGAGAGACAGAAAGACAGAAAGTGAGAAATCACCCCCCAGGGGGAATGGCCACGCCACAGTCCCTTCTCCTCCATTCTCCTCTCGGGATCTTGGGCACACACGCACACGTACCTGGCTTGAGTTTAAGCCACCGGGTCTAGGATTTGAACTGCAGTCGACTACATGGGAGTCCAGCGACCTAGCCGTTCCGCTAACTGCTGGTCCCGGGAAGGCACTCCTGACACCTGCCATAATAGGCTTGGCCCTGAGGGCATTCCACTGAGCACAAGCCAGCTCAACAGCACGGATGCTGCCTGATCCCACTGCGAGGTCCCTGGAGGACAAATTTCAGAGAAGGGAAGTGGAGTGTGGTTGAGGGGCCAGGGCAGGGGGAAATGGGGACAAGGGCCCATCTGGGAACTATGGAAAACCCTGGTGGTGACGGCTGCACAACGTGAGTGTACGTAATCCCTAAGCTGTACACTGGAAAGTGGATAAAGTGGTAAACTTTATATGATTTGGATTGTGCCACAATCAAAAAAAAAAAAAAAAAAAAAAAACCACGATGAATCGTGGAAGAAGGCCCGTTCTGGACCATGTGGTGTGAGTCACAGCCTGGGCACGCTTTGAGTGTGTGTGGCAGATGCTCAGGTGAGACCCAAGAGTGTGCTCCCATCACAGGACATGGAGATGCAGCGGTGGCCTGGTGGTGCCCAGGCCAAAGAGCACTCTTGGCCAATGGCGTGAGTGCATCTTCCCCAGGTTCAAAGCCACAGTGGGCTCAGACCAACCGCAGTCCAGCCGCCGCACCAGCATGCACAGGTGACTGCCCACGCCCCGTCGCGCTGACGTCATGCGCACCGCTGGCTTTCAAGGACACTCACAGTGAACTCTCAGGCGTGCTCAACCATGCGGGTACAAGTGCTCCCTCACATCCTGGGGGTCCCGTCGCTCTAGCTGGTGCATCGTCTTAGTGGGGCTTCCTTCAGAACCCTCTGAGGCTCGAATCTGGATGCTTGTGATCCATCTGGGAGGAAAAGGCAGCCCCAACCACTCGCCCTGAGTAAGAAGCATCTGTGTTGCTCTAAGGATTCATTTCTGGGTGGATCAGAGCCTGTTGGGAGTGTATGAGGGGCTTCAAAAAGTTCAGAGAGGGCCAGCAGGTAACATGAAGGTTAGGGCGCTAGATCCCACACGGGCAACTGTGCAGCTGAGCCTGGACCCAGCAGCTTAAAAACTACTCCTGGGGTGCATGTGTGTGCTCATGTGTGCTCCTGAGAGGAGAATGGAGGAGAAGGGATTGCAGTGGGCCATCCCCCGGGGGTGATTTCTCACTTTTCTCTCTCTCTCTCTCTCTCTCTCTCGCTCTCGCTCTCTCACTCTCGCTCGCTCTCTCACTCTCTCTCTTTTTGGTGAACTCTCTCGCTCTCGCTCTCTCACTCTCGCTCTATCTCTCACTCTCTTTTTGGTGAGCAAACAAGCCATACAGAAAAAAAAGAAAGAAAGAAAAAGTTCATTTAGGTGCAAAGCATGTTAAAACCCATGCATATCATTTCCATAGTCCACATTTTCCACAGATTTTTTGAAAGCTTTGCATGCTTTGAGAGATGCAGCTCAAGGTCCACTGAAATGCGCCCCAGCTTGGCGACCTCTGGCTGTCTCTGGTCCTTTGGCCAGTCATGACCGTGTGTCTTTGCCACTTTCTCATACACCTGTGTCCTTCTTGCCAACCGAGAACCCTATAAGGTCACTTGGGGACTGCGTTACATAAAAGGCATTCAGATGGGCTCGCTCCCTGCAGGAGCTCGGCAAACAGCACGATGGTGACAGCTGGCCGCAGCTGATGCTTCTGGGGGCGGAAAAGAGGCCCCAGGGGGACCCGCTCTCCCAACCCCACTCCTGTGGCCAGCAGGCAGCACGTGGATAGATGCACTTCCGGCAAAGCAGGGATTTTCATTTCTTTGTTTATAAGCCAAAGAGCGTGTGAGCTGGCCAGAGAGACTGACAGAGAGAACAGCCCCCTCGGGGTGCTGTCCCTCTGCAATCCCATCTCCTCCATCTCTCCACCCCATCAGAACTGGAGGCACACACGCACACGTCTGGTGTGTTTTTCAAGCCACCAGGGCCGAGATTCAAACAGGGTTTGACTATGTGGGATTCAGTTCCCCTAACCACTAGGTCATAGGACTGGCCCCTTATTTTTACATGAGAACAAATAGGCCTGCGTGTGGACCAGAGTGTTAGAAATGTGTCCATATTTTGAAAAGGAAAAAAAAAATCTAAAAACATAGAAAAGACAAGACAAGGTTTCACGTGAGGTTGACTCTCAGAGGTCTGGCTCCTGCCCTGCAGATCCCTGGCCTGGGAGTCAGGAGTGGCCGCGGGTCAGCTGGCAGGAGAGGAGAAGCGTGTCTTGCAGTGGGCGTGTCAGGCTGGGATCCCACTGGACCCCTGCACCAAGCCCTGTCCGTGAGGCTCTGGCCACTGGTCAGGAGGGCGAGGCAGCCTGGGCTGAGCACCGCCTGGCAGGTGTGACTGAGGTTCTCACACATGCCCCCACCTGGTTCGTCATGATGGGAGGGATGCCCCCCAACCTCTCCCCCAAAGTTAGGTCCTGGCGATGCTCAGAACTAGTCATCCATCCGTCCTCTGTCCTGCAGGGCCTGTTAGCACCCCACTCAGCCTCCATCTGGGCCTGAGACCCTGTGTTTTCTTTTTTTTTTTTTTTTAAAGAGGTTTTTGCCTTAGGGTGCACATGCTCACCTGGGGAGTGGGGGGAGGGGAAGAGACACAAACAGTGAGGGGGGAAGTGAGTAATTACCCCCCAAGGGGGATAGCCACGCTGCAACCCCTTCTCCTCCATTCTCTTCCTGGGATCTTGGGCACACACACACAGGTGCTCGGCATGATTTTCAAGTCAATGGGTCTGTGAGTCTAACTGTGGTCAGCCAGGGGGGCGTCCAGTGACATAACCGCTACACCATCTGCTGGCCCCAGAGACCCCATGCTTCTAACCAGTTCCTGGAGGCCAATGCTGTGGGTCCAGGACCCGCACTTTGGAATCCACCGGTCTCTCCAAAGGCATCACCCACCACTCTCCAGCTGCCTGAAGCAGAACTTCCCTTGGACAGCTGTCCTGGCAGCAAAGGACTGAGGCCGTTCTGGGCTTTCCTGCCTGTCCAGCCCAGCTCTTAGTCTGCCTGGAAGCTCAGTAGGGGCCACAGGGAGCTAGGGGAGCAGCCCCCAGGCCCTCCCAGCTCCAGGTGTCAGGTTGCCCAGCACTTCCCAGACAGGCCTCTGCGCCAGGGCCTTAGGGAGCCTGGCTTCCCAGCCACATCAAACACAGAGGGCCCCCAGCAGCACGGGGTGCTCA